CATCGAGTCTCTTCCGACTCAGCCATCTACAGCGCAGCGTGGGGCTGCCCTGTGAGTTTCTGAGACAGTCACTCTGCATGGGAGTAGAAAGCTTTGTGTTTCTCCTGCGGAGCAGCTGGTGGGCTTGAACTGCTGACCTTGCAGTTAGCAGGCCATATCCCACCCATGAAGCCACATGGGCTTGTGAGTGGTGGATGTATGTTGCTACGATGCTGACCAGGTTTCACTGGAACTTCTAGGTAAGATAGACTGGTTGGGGTGGGCCGGGTGGGGGGAGGCCTGGTAATCCTCTTCTGAAAATCAGCCAATGAAATTCTTATCCTTACCCAGTTTCCTTAGCCCTCAGGGCTAAATATTGGTCTGCGTGTCTGAACGAGGAGAAGTGACAATGAAGTGAACTAGGAGGACTCTTCCATGACATATGTTTATTTCAAACATCTGGGAAGAAAAGAAAGAAAGAAAATCTGACAGTCCACTGTGGTGGAAGAGTCAGTAGATCAAGGCAATGGGACAGGACTGAGAAATATCTTGCTCCATTATGCATGAGCCGTCAGGAGTCAGGACCCACATGATTGGCAGCTAATAGCAACAATAACTTAGTTAATGATATGTGCTGAGATCTTGGCAGAATATTGTATATACATATAGATTCAGATGGAAGTTTGTGTACTGAGCTAGACTCTGGGGTTGCAAAGACGAGGGAGATCCATACTGCTGGTCTGAAGTTTGTAGGCTAATGGGGGATAGAGATTTACAAACTACCAGTCACTATTAGCAGGCCCATTTGCCAATCACTGTTGAACTAATGTGAGACCTTCTCATCAAAGGCCAGTCTTGGTGTCCCAGGAGTTCAGAGGTTGTGTGGAAGTGAATGCGCAGTGGAGGGATAGAGGAAATGTTAAGAAGACAGTCAGGCAGGGTCAGGTCAGTGTGGCGCTGAGATCAGAGCTCTCCTCTCTTCTGCAGTGGGAAAGAGCGTACTCTCGCAGTAGGCATGGCTGAGGAAGCTTTCCGCCCCACCAAGAGAGCAGACTCACAATGAGTATTCTGAGCTGAGGCCTCCAGGAGGACCATGTCGTTACAGGAGGAAGACTTCAGGTAGGATGGTCACCTGATTTGCTGGGCTAACCTCTGCATCCCTCTCCTTGCCAGGTCCCTTCCAGAGACACGGTGACCATGGCCTTGCTGCTTCTCACCGTGACTGTCCCACCTGTGCTGCCAGCTGCTCTCACCACTGGCATTGTGTATGCACAGAAGAGGCTGAAGGGGAAGAAGATCTTTTGCATCTCTCCACAGAGAATCAACATGTGCGGGCAACTAAACCTCGTGTGCTTTGACAAAGTATGGCCTGAACTTTCCACCCGGGAGCTTAGGTTTGCAGGGCAGCAGAGTGGGGAGGGACCTTGGGGCATGTGAAAGGTCTGGTCATTTGACAGACGGGGCACTGACACCAGCTAGGGCCCACAGTGAGCCCGCAGAGAACACACTCCCAAGTTCCCTTCCTAGTTCCCTTCCTGAGTCCCATAGCCAGGGGCTGACCCTCGCATCATGAGGGTCCTCGCTCTAAAATTTAATATGTTGGTGCTTCAAATTCATTTCTTATTACCACAACTTCTATGACTGGCTGGCTTTTCTTATTTAGTTTACCAAAGGGAAAAAAAAGGAGGCATATTTTGGTTCCTAAAGTGCTTTGTCCAGAGCTCACTGAACACCTTCTTTGTCCAGCTCGGCTGCCTCTTTAAGGAAAGGAGAGTCTGTGTGTGCGGGACCCTTCCTGGTGGATCTCAGGCCCTCCTGGTAGGATCCTACCTTCACCTTGGGCTGGTCGGTTTGGCTCTTTGAGGCCAGTGAGCCTGGCTTGGTCCCTCAATGCCCTCGGTTATTTGAATAACTGGCCAAAACAGCTCTTCGTATCATATTTGGAGCTAACCT